AAAAATAATAACAATAATTTTATTCCTTTTTTCGGGGACTGTAAATTTATAATTTTACTTTCACAATCGATTATTACTCTGTACTTCTCTAATCAGTTCATTCCTAATATCACATGAAATCCTACAAAATCTAACAACATTAGATTCACAAATACTTCTATTTCTGAAGCTTTTATTTTACAAGCTATATATACAGTGAACTTTTAATAATCCCCTCTAGGGAGTTTGTACTGTCAATGTTTCTGTTAAAGGTTCTGACTTAAAATCAAGATTACCAACAAATACACAGGAAATAAAAGAGTGAGTAGCATTTGTATCGATCAAAGTCTTAACAAAAGTATCATAGATAGAAAGCATACCCTGGATGAGAACAAGAGTGAGGAGAGCACCAGGTTCATATAGGTGGTACAGCGACCCTGAGCTACAGGCCTAGCCACATCTTTCGATCACTAGGGGGCAGTCTTTTATAAGATGTTGGGTACTTCCACACTGATAGCAAGCATGATTGATACGTTGATAAGGCAGGTCACCATGCAAGCGACCACAATGTTGACAGGATTGGTTAGGTCGTGCCAGTTGAACTGTAGGTGGAGGCAAGGTAGGGGGATGAGTAACTCTATTTCATTTATTGGGGTGGCTACTTACTGGATCATAAAATCTTCTTTTAAGCTGTTGCGGTTGTTGTTAATTACAGACTCGAGCAATACGTTGGTGTTTAGCCGAGATGAGATCGTTAGCCAACTGGGCATGTTCTAACATCTCCACATATGAGCTAGGTCTCAACATCGCAATCTAATCATAGATGTTGACACAAAGGCCTTTAGAAACTTCATACCTTTTAGGCTTTTAGGAGTGACCATTTGAGGGGCAAACCTAGATAGTTGGACAAAATGGGCTGCATACCGGGCAATTGTTAGAGTACTTTGGCATAGGGACTAAAATTCCTCATCCTTTTTTTTTCGGACATAGGTAGGGAAGAAGTTATCAAAAAATGCATTCATGAAAACTTTTCAGATGGTAGGGATATATAGGACTTCCTTCTTAAGTCGTCACCAGCGTTCGGCTTCATCGTTTAATATATAACCTACTAGGAGAATTTTTTGTTCCTCTGTCAAATCTAGGACAGAGAAAAGATTCTCTATCTATAAGATCTAAGCTTCGGTTACTAAGGGGTCAAGGCCACCTTCAAAATATGGCAGGTTGAGTTTCCTAAACTCCTTTATGTTGTGGGAAATGGACCTCTCGACTGTTTGGTATTCGAGGGTATGAGGTGAAAAAAGGTTGGTTTGATTTTATCCTACAGCCGCAGTCAATCCTTAGACGACTCAAAAGAGTTCGATAAATTCAACCTTGTTTGGGTGATCTGGGCTTCAAGTCGCTCAGTACACTCTACAGATGGTCTTCCTTGCGTCATTCCTACAAAAAAAAAAGAAGACACGAGTTGGTGGTATAAAATTTTTTATAAGAGGACTTATTCTTCCTTGTTACTTTTAAGGGTCTTTCTACCTAAGCCTCAATGTAAGGGATTTATTTGGCGTAATTCAAGGTAAATGGTTGTCATATACAAAAATAAAAGAACGAATGCATGATCAAAATTTATGCAGCAGAACCAATTAGTACAAATTCCTTACAAATATATGAGTTCTAGTTACATACATATATTGAGGTTAGAAGTGGCTACAATTACAAAATCAAAACACAAAAGAATGCCACTTTTTTCACTATGTTATTGGACTCATCAGAGTGCAGAAATAATCATGCACTTAAGTTTTATGGATCCACGAAATCCTCATAAACTTCCAGGGGTATGTCAGCTTGCGGTTCCTCATTTTTTTTCTTATCTGGGAGAGAGCATGAAAAGAGTGAGTTCGATGTGCTCAGTAAGAAAAATAGTATTTAAATAACATTGTAAGGTCTTAAAAGTGAATTATTCTAGCGTAAATACTTACTATTTGGCTCTTCATAAACTTATCGTACATTATGAAAATAATTTATTCATTAGGAAAACAATATGTTAATATAATTAAACAAACATACATCATGCTAGATAATAGAAAAAATCAAATAAATCATGAAATGCTCAGATTTTCATATCATGCTTCACAAAGTCATAATAACTTCTATCTTTGAAGGCAGATATAGATTTCTAACTACCCATGTGGAATGACCAGATCGGATATAGATAACGGCAATTTGTTCAGACATAATTTTGGTTGGTCAAACCATGGTATGATCTATAACTATGATCGTACTAACCATAGTGGTTCTATAAGATATCTACAGTCACAAAAGTACTTAGCAAAAGATGATCCTTAAGAGATATTCGCATCACCACTCTCGTTAGAGGGTACATTGTCATCCACAAGGAGCGGTCCTCTTATGTCTTTTTAGACCAGATGGGGGAGGGGGACACAGATACCCTAGATGGGGATAGGGGAACAGATACCCCTCAGAGATAAAAAGACTAACGAGACACTTGATGCATTATGCATGTTAGTACAGATACATACTATGGATCATTCATGCTTCATTCCACTTTTTGTTTTATTTCTTTTATCTTTTCATATAACAATACTGAGTTCATATTAATTTTTATTACATGTAAAACATCAAATGTCTATAAATCATATATCATGCTTAAAAACAAAAACAGTTCACCTTATAAGACCTACAAACACACAATCATGCAAAACGGACAAAGTTTTAATTATCATAATTTAATTATTTTTCTAAAAATACTCCTTAAGATGTCAAAAAAATACTAAATTTCTTACTGAAACCTTGATATTTCGTCCTTAAACATTCTTCTTTTCTTTCCCTCCTTCTCTCTCTAAATCACTCTCTCTCTAAGTCTTAAAAAATAGAAAAAAATAGAAGTGTGGGAAAAAGTGGGAAGGGAAGACCTATTTATAAAAATTTAAAACCGTTGAATTTGTGCCAAATGGCAAAATCCAGTAAAGAGAGAAAAGAAAAAGATGCTCGGCACGAAAAATGAAGAAGGAAGGCCTCCTCTACCGGCGGCGACAATATGTCACCCGAGGCGATGGCAGCGCACTACGCAAAGTGGCAGTGGCTCTCCCGGTGCTCTACAGACTAGCCTGCAGGCGCATAAGCAACCTGCCGCACTTACAGGGCCTAGGGACACTAGGCGCTTTGCATGTAGGCCCCAGGCACATAGGGGCCTATCCGTGCAGGCTTGCTGCGCGAACGGTGCGTGCACAGTGTGCAGTACCTGTTCGTGTATGAGGTGACGTGCGGATGTCCCGCCTGCACGCGACAGGTCGTGCATAGGGTTTGACCTCGCACCGCGCAGGCTTTGCGCACGTCTCGTACTAGCTATGCACGTGTGTGTGCGCGCACAGTGCAAGGCATCCCACATGGTCTATTATCCTTCCTCATGGGATTTTTTCTGTTTTGCCGTTTTTCTAAATTTTTAATTTTTTTTTCTAAATAAATAAATATCAAAAATGAAACTAAAGTAGAAATAAACAAAAATAATTAAAAATTAAATAAAATTAAATAGAATCAAAATAATTAAAAATCGACAAGATTCATGATTTACGATAAATAACATGAGAAGTAAATTAAATAAGTTCAATGCAGCCTAAATGCCCGAATAAATAATGTTTTCCAAATTAATTAAGCACAACGATGGACGAGATGTTGTAGAAAATGGTAAAGGGATTAGTAGTGATATAGTGAGAGACATGTATGTTATGGAAAGAGTATGAGAAGGGTAAAATGGAAAAATAGTAGATTTAAGTTGAATTAAGTCTATGATAGTATTGGGGATTGTGTCTAAAAAGAAAACGAGTCAAATGTCCAATAAAACTTAACTCATCAAGTTGTCTAGTGTAAATCCAGTTCATTGATTTCTTTGGAGAGATAGTGAGGTTAATAGGGGAGCCAATTGGCTTTAGGCAGTGGTCATTGGGTTCCAGTTATGGGAGCAGGTTTAGTAGTCGGTGATATGAACTTACTGTTATCCATTGTTCTAGGGCTCAAGGACATGATTGATGACGATCAGAGTGAAAATTATCTGGTGACGTCGAGAGAGAACAAAGTGATTGTATGTTTTACGAGTAATATATTGTTATTATTATTGATTGCACACCCACTCTTAGCTAGTTGGTGTCCTGGTACTCTCTTTTAAAATAGTGTAAGCGGCTGCGCAAGTAAGTTTATAAACAGTAAAACTAAAAATAAAATAATAAATTTGTATTAAAACTGTGTCAGAAGAAGAATCAGAGTCAGTTCTCAGTTGCGTATTAAAGAATTTGATGTAATGTGATTATTTGTTTGGAATGATATGACTTATTGATTTATGGTAATGGTTATTTGTAAAGGAGTGAAAAGAATAAGTATAAAGTTAATAATTGAGAACTGTATAGTATTGGTAATTTTATTATAAAGGTTTTTTAAAATAGGATTGTATTATATTTATTAAGAATATTTTTCACCGAATGCATTAAAAAGAACTTCAAATGGTTGATTGTCACATGTTAGTACTGCTCTTCTTATTGAGTCAACTGAAACTCACCACAATCTAGACTTTCTTTTCAGGTTAGGGGACCCAAATAGGGTTAGCAGTCAAATGAGGTGTGAGGACAGTTCCTTAGCCTTGGGTAGAATTAAAGTGGTAGATGTTAATGTAAGTTTTGTAACATCCCAAAAAAAAAGGTAAATAAAAAGGGTTAAATCAAAGAA